TGAGGAGGAGCAGGATGAGGAAGTGAAGGAGGAGTTGGAGCTGGACGGGGTCTGAGGTGAAACGGATCCGCGATGAAACTTTGCACCAGATGGACCCTGGGAAGGGTCTGGGGGGGATTTTGAACGGATTTGGTTTCATCCCGCCGTCTTGACCGATTTTCTCCAAGACAGTTCGAGGAGGAGGGGGGAGGAGGAGGAAGAGGAGGAGAAGGAGGTAAATAATGATGATGATGATGATGATGATGATGATGATGATGATGATGATGATGATGATGATGATGATGATGATGATGATGATGATGATGATGATGATGATGATGATGATGATGATGATGATGTGATGATGATGATGATGATGATGATGATGATGATGATGATGATGATGATGATGATGATGATGATGATGAGGAGGAGGAGGAGGAGGAGGAGGAGGAGGAGAAGGAGGAGGATAGGAGGAGGGTCCTCCCTCCTTCCTCTTCCTCTTCTCTGCTGCCTGTCACAATCAGTTAATTTACTTTACCAGCCGGAGATTCCTGGAACGACCGCTCCAGGAGTCGCCAGGCTCTGAGTTGTGTCACCCCCCAGGAGGGCCGACCGGCCCCGGGCCCGGGGGGGGGGGATGGCTGCGTCGGGGTGCTGTTCTCGCCATCCGTGGGCCCGTGGGTCGACGGTCAGGAGGCGGAGGGTTGGGAGGTGCCGGCCCCGGGGTGGACGGCGCGGTGCCTGCTGCTGGCTGCTGCTGGTGCTGCTGCCCCTGCGCTCCCTGCCGCGGCGGGCCGCGGGCCCCGCGGTGGCGGGCAGGGCGAGAGCGCGCTCCTCGCGGCGCGGGCGCAGCGCACGGAGGAGGAGCCGGCGCGGCCCCCGCGGCGCGGGCACGCGCGCACGGCGCCGCCGGAGCCCGAGCTGGGTCGGGGCCACGCCTGCTCTCGTGCCCGGGGCATCGGCGCAGCGCGCCCCACTCGGGTGCGCACGACCAGGCCAGGCCAGGCCAGAGCGGGAGGAGGGGAGAGAAGGGTGCTGCCGGGGACCCTGTCCGAGCGCGCGGGCCGGGGGTTCGGGTTTGGCGGCGGGTGGCGCGGCGCGGGCCGAATGGGGTTGCCGTCGCTCGGCAAAGCTTGCCCTCGCCGGGGATCGATAGGGGGCTGCCGAGGGAGTGGGCTCCACGGGGGGCAGCGTCAGGGTAGATTTTTTTTGGGTTCGAGGTTGGAGGTTTTCGGGCGCGTTCGGGGGAGCAGTTTTCCAGATTCGGGATGCTCTTCATCAGCGGCGCCTCGCCTTCGGGCGTCCTGGGGGTGCTTGGATCGTCTCGAGAGGCCGCCGGAGACCCCACGTTTTCTGGCCCGGCGAACCCCGGAGACGGGGATGGGGTCGATGCATCCCTCCGGGGTGTGTGTGTGTGTGTGTGTGGATCGACCCCCGATCGCCCACAAATCGCCGATACGGGCCCAATGGGCCATCCCGCCCATGCAGGAGCGCGCGTACTCGCTATCGGCAGCCTATTGCCGATCTATCGGCGACGTGTCGCCGATTCAATGCTCGATGTTTCCCCCCACGAGCTGGTCCCATTCGAACGTTGCCCCTTACCCTCCCTCGCCGTGGAACGCGGGGAAAAAACACACCCCGACTGCCCATCAGTGGAGTTTGCTGCACGGGCCTTGGGCGTCTACTGTGCAGTCCTGCCACGTGCGCCTCCTTCCCTGCGGGCGCACTTGCCGAAAGGGTTCGCTTGCAGGGGGTGTTTGTTATGAGGGTGGTTCGTCTGCCCTCTTTAGGGTGCGTTGACTAAAGGGCTTCGTCTGCATTGGGCTCACCACTCTGCGTGCCATCCTCTCCCCCGCCTTAGCCTCTGCAGACTGGCCCGCCCAGTTCCTCCTCTGCACATGTGGTTGCGCGAGTGTTGCCGCTGCTTTCCATCTGGGTGCCACAAGTCGTCATTCCTGTTCCGCGGTGAAGTCTCAGGGCTCTGAGCTTCCAGCCACCGCGCTGAACCTCCTCGTGCTCCCTGGGTGTTGTCGGCGCGCAGCGGTCGCGTGGCAGACTCTCCTTCGGGGTGGTGAAAGACACTCCGCTGAAGCAAGGCGTTCTTTCTCCTCCTCGTCCCCCTCCTGTTCTCCATCAACGAACCACGTGCCCCTTTTTTCCCTCTTCCTCACTGCTTCCATGCGCTCGCCTCCTAAACGCTGACACGTTTACCCTTCCCCTCCCGTCTTTCCACTCGCCTTCCATCCTCCCGCCCTCGTCTGCCTCCCTTCCTTTCCCTTCCCTTCCTTCATCCTTTCGCCGTAATCATATCCTTTACGCTTCGCATAGCCCCACCAGCCCATCCAGCAGTGATGACCATTCGGGTTGGACATATGCTTGCTCATTGGCCGACCTCTTTGGGCTTCTCTACATCGTCATGCTCTTCTTCATCCTTTCTCTTGCCTCCTTGAGGACGGTGCGGCCCGAGGCCCCTGGAGGGAAGCGTGGGGGCACGCAGTGGGGCAGAGGGCGGCTGGGC